ACATATCAAAATTACTATTCATTTTCAAACACAGTATATTTTGTCGTTTTGAAGGACCCGGCAACGAATGTAGTGATCTGCTGGTAAATATAAGATAAATCTTAGTTAATTAACCCTTAAAAGCCGAATGTCCCTTCCAAAGGACATTTGAATAATTGCAATAAAAACCGTAATAAGACCTTGTATACAGAAGCCAATATTTTTTTTGACTAAGACGATCTTGGGGGCCATACCGAGATCAAAATATAATTTTCAAGTGACTGTCAGACGGAACAATAGATCTTTTACGACTGATGAGTTTTTTAATGTCAGGTTTCTTTTTTAAAGTTTTTTTTATTCATAAATGGAATGTGCAGTCTTGTTTATTTAACGCAATATTCTTACATAGCATCAAGGTATCTGATGAAGCCATTCCGTAAATTTTTAACCGATCTACTGACAAATTATGCCATCATAAAGAAAATGTTTCTTGGATGGGATATTCAGCCTCAGAGAAAAATCGAAACAAAGAAATTTTAATTTGAAACTTTGCCCATACATAGCTCTAACGAAATTTAGAGTGTCCTGAAATTTTTAGCAACAATGGTTGTTTCCTTCTCGAGGTACAGGATCTTGAAGAAGCTAGCAATTTTTTGCAAAAGATGGCCGGTCTTTTTAGGTATCAAATATCTCAATAAGAAAGCATCCGTTTTGAATGAAAATTTCAGAACAAGTTAAGGATTATGAAACCTATTTATGGGCAAAATTTCAGATCGAAATTCCTATCTTTCGGTTTTCTACAAGGCCGGATATTCCTGCCAAAGGACCTTGCGTAACTACGGAAGAAGAGCAAGGTAATTCTTTTTAGCTATAGTATGAGTATACTGAGGGTCCATAATCTCTATTTTTGGGATTAGCTTCCTCCTGTTGTAAGCAAAAGCCTCTTCGGCTTTTAAGGGTTAATATACAAAAGTGGCAACACATGATCCTGATACGTCAGTCATTTTTTGCAACGCTTTAGCCATTAAGGACGGGGTGCAATAAGAACGAGGATCGGCCCCATTTCAGATCTTCTCGAAAAGTATCTAGAATGAAAGAGCATACAATTTTATGGGGTTCTAGACCCTTGGTTCCCCTTCGGATCTCATATCTGTGAAAAATCGATCAGCTTTGACCAATAGCTCCGCGAGCCCATTCCGAGGCGTTTTTCGTAAATTTCTCAGAATACAACAAGGTAGAAGTAAAGTCTTATATGCCATTCGAGGCAGCTTTAAACGGCGAACAAAACTATCTATTGCTCAATTGTTATGTACACTGCGAACACCCACGTTTTGGAATATTACTGTTAAAACTGACCTTTTCAGCATAGTCCACGATAGTATTTCAACTTTTTCACCATGAACGAACCTAGGCTGCGGTCTGCATTATATATGAAAAGAAAGCTCTTTCAAAACTCTACCAAATGGTGGGGAACTCATGTCTAGTTGCAAGTGCGAACACTCACTTTTTAGGATATTACTACTGAAGAGTGATATTTCCAAGCATACTGACGGATAATGTTTCTATGTTTTTACCATGAAAGCATTTAGGTTGCGGTCTACATTATATATCAAAAGAAAGTTCTTTCAAAACTCTACAAAATGGCTGGTAATTTATCTCTACTTGAAAGTGCGAACGCTCATTTTTATGGACATTACTACTGCAAAGTGATGTTTTCGGCATCGACGGATAGACTCGATCCATATAAAACCTACCACCATTTACATCGACCTTTGACGTTAGTGACGAGACCTGCCTCATATTGTAGAGCTCAGCAAGCTGAACCGAATGGTGAAAATCGCAAGTCTCTAGCCTTGTTAGAGAAAACGTTATAGCCATTTTACCCTCGCAGCGGAAAAATGCATTTTCTGGCGGATTTGGCTAACTTGTAGAACGTCTGCTGACCACATTCCCTAACGTAGAACCTTGAAGTTGGTATCAAATGGAAGAGCGCGTCGAGTTCTATACATTTCGATGGAAAAACGTTATGCTAGGCCTCGGGGTCTTGAGATAGAGATTTCTAAAAAACTCGGTTTTCTAGACACCTAGTGACCTTAAAATTTCTTTGAGTAGTTTTTCAACCATATCATTGGATAGCTCCTTCAATTCTCCACAAAATGAGATCTTGGACACGTTTCTACGATGTTGTGTCAAAGTGCCATAGAAAATACGATACAGATCGAAAATTCGGCATTAAAGCGAATGACGTTATCGGTAATGTTAAACGGTGTGTAACTAGGTTGTCGAAGATAGTAGAAACGTGTCTAACGAGGGAACCTCTCGAGGTGATTAAAAGCTTTTCGACTCAGACTATTTTCATCATGTAGGGAATAGTCAACACTGCCTGGGGCTCTGGGGCTGTCAACACAGTCCTGGGGCTCCATAGAAATCAGATACCACGTCCAGATTACTCATAATCAAAGTCTCGTTTAGCTCCCACTTTGAAGAGGACACTTTAGGGTATTTATGCATAAAAAAGCCAGTATATTGTTATTTTATCGTTTAGAGTTATGAAACGGTTTTCAAGAGATCTCCTAGAAAACAGATAATTGAGAAATACTTTTAAGTTTGTTTTAGTTATATAAAAGATAGCTTAAAGTTTTGGCTATCGAATCGCAAAAACCACAAGTTTCTATCACCTTTCGTTTTTGAGAAAGTTTAATGTACTATAGCAGTCATCCATCCCATCCCGACCTAGCAGTAATTCGGTCCGTTTTTTTTTGCTCATCAGATTTGCCATTTTCATCAGATCGTATCTGTCATATCATATCATATCATATCCCATCCCATCTTACTCCATCCTATCTTCTCACATCCTATTACTTCAATTCTTACTTTATTGACAATAAAGAAATACAGAGACACAAAAAGAAGAAACACATGATTTATATGTTTCAGTATAAAGTTTCTGTTTTTCTATAGACAGACAGATATCTTTCACAGGCGACTGTTCGATGGTCAACTTGAATCAATATTAAATTTCTGTACTCGATGATTGATGTTATCGGCGACATAGACATTGCCATGTCGATCGAATGATCAAGCAATGGGACGATTGAATTGATTCGACTGTTCTCCTTCACCGTTTCCACCAGCAACGACACTTCCCTGTGTGGCTCCTTTTCGCCAACGCATGATTCGATGATTCAAACAATCAACCACATAGACAGTGCCCAATTGATCAACAACGGCTAGAGGATTTGACAGTTGTGAAAGACTATTTCCTTGTCCTTGACCACTGGCTACGACAATGCCTTGTTTTGCACCTTCTTTCCATTTCATCACACGATGATTTCCACAATCAGACACGTACACTGCATGATCTCGATCTACAAATACGTAACAAGGGTCAGAGAGGTCTGGGACAATTATAGTCAACAGTGAGGAATCCAAAGTTGGTTTGGGCCCATGCGCCTTTTTGATGGAGATATGAGTTAATTAATGAAAATGCCATTAATAATAATTAATTAATAGCTCACGACCATGATCAGCTAGGAGTCGGAAATTTTCACCACAGTTGAAGATAGATGTTGTCTACTCACTGCGACAC